TGGGGTGCAGGCCTGTGGCACAAATTGGTATATAAATTTGCATATGCTACTTTATGTTTAGAGGTGCAAATTTGGGCGCCAATTTTCAGAGAGAAAGCCACCAGGAAAGCAAAATATGTGGGTTTTTCTTTAGTTTAAAAAAGAAGAGAAAGGGCAGGAGATATGGGATCCTGTGCAAAAGAGCCAAGACTCAGGTTTCTGTGCCTTACAGCAGTGTTCCCCAACCTTGGGCCTCCAGCTGTTTTTGGACTACAATTCCCATCATCCTTGACCACTGGTCTTGCTAGCGAGGGATGATGGGAGTTGTAGTCCAAAAACAGCTGGAGGCTCAAGGTTGGGGAACACTGCCTTACAGCATCCATGGTCAGTAGATGCCTAAGGCTTCACTGCCACAAGTGCAATGCAATATAGAGTAAGCTGTAAGCTTTCACTCTTCCTTGGCAGAAACCATTAGTCCCAAGCCAAGCCTTTCAAATTTTCAAGATATCTGGGGATGCCTCCTACAAGAAACTTTTTTAAGGTTCTCTAATGTCAATCACTTCAATTGTCATTCCAAACTGTTTTTGTTAGGTATGCAGTGGTTAAAATAAGAATAATAGTTGCATAATTCACTACTAATATGTATTATTCTGTATATCACGTTTTTGACAGCGTGAATTTCTGAACGAAGTTTCTTGTTACGACTTTGAAATGGAAATGATGAGGCCTCCTGGTATTTTAACTCATTTCAGAATGTATTGATTTCAGTGTCAGCTGTCTTAAGTGATGGAAATAATGGGGTTTGAACGTGACCTTTTCAATCACTTTATCAAGTTCGAGGCTTTGAATATTGCTGAAAGCAATGTGCATCTTAGGCACACCCATTGGAATTATGACACACCACAAATTGGCCAATGGTGCAAACTGAGTATGATGCTGAGTATTTAATATGATATATATAACTCTTACACACACACACACACACACACACAGAGAGAGAGAGGTATATCAATCTACAGTCTCAATCTACTGGTCAACTTGTCCTGGGCCAATGTGGGGACCATCCACCCTACCTGGGATCTGATCCTGAATTAGTTGGGGGCAGAGCTAATGTTTAAATAGGTTTTTAAAAAACAAAACCTAATTAAACATACAGCTGGGAGAGGATAGGGGAAGGTGACATTGCATCTCTTTCTCTCCCACTCCCAAATGAGAGCAGGTGGGGTCAATTCTGTGGGGTGCTCCTTTGCTAATGTCTTCTCTTATGGAGCCATTGATGCTGCATGGTGCTGTTTCAAAGATGAGCCTCAGGCAGGCAGCATAGTCAGGCAGCGGGCTGCTACCTACTTCCAGGAAAACACAGCTGGTGGTCAGGATAACTGTTTGCCTCTTCTCAGGGTTTTCCTGGCAAGTGCCCACCTCAGATGCCCCACCCTCTGATCACTCTGAGCCATCAAACCCATCCAGGAGCAATCTGTGGCATTGGTCCAATTCCCGAGTCCCACCAAATATGCCTCATTTGCCCTGATAGTTGGGCCTTGGCTGAATCCGGTGCATGGTCCTAGTTCAAAAGCATTGTCGTGTACCTGCCTAAAGAACACTTCAGAGCCTGCATTGAGGCACAGCCTGATCTTTTTTCTTCTTGCTTGCAGCTCCCTGTGCTTCATTGGCTATTATTCTGCAGGTCCTTCCCATACTTGCTTCTTCAAGAAGGCTCAGAAAAGACCAGCAGCAGTAATAGGGAACCTGAACATGCCTTATGTGTTCACAGCACTTTGGATCACAGAACAGTGTTCAATTTATTTTAAGGATCACCACCTGGGTTCTGCACAAGTCCTCCTAGTTTATATAATGCTGGATATATCATGTAGAACTGAAGCCCTTAGTAGTTTAGTGCTAAAACCATGCTCCAACCACACTTGCAAAGGATTAATTTGAAGATTTTGCATAATTGGGATGCAGACCACTTGTTGCCTGTGATGGATGCTTCGTACATTGCTCTGTTTGTTTGCCAGATGTTCCACAGCTATTCTCCAGTAGCATAACATAGTCTGAGACTTCAGAAATGATGAATCTTATGTCTGCAATGTGGTAAGAGTAAGAGGGATGCCAGTGCTTGGAAAATAAAGCTTTCCTAAATGCTCAAACACTTAATTAGATGAAGATACACAGGTGTCCCTGTGCCATCATATCTCTCTCTCTCTCTCTCTCTCTCTCTCTCTCTCTCTCTCTCTCTCAGGGTGTGTGTGTCTGTGTGCCCACACCTCTTCAAATTGCTCTCAGTTTGACCTTTTCTACTGCAGATTAACACTTTTTCTTCAATATGAAGTAAAGAACTGCTGTTCTTATAATTGCAAAATTACTGCACTGGGCATCTTGCTCAGTAAAGGCTATATACTCGGCAAAATAACTTGGCTTTATTTCCCCCCCCCACCTGCTGCTCACAGCAATTATCTTGCTCCTTTAAGAATATTAAAAAATGCTGATTTGTTGGACCACATATTGTTATAAGTGTATTGAAGTTTGCAGTGAGTAGTAGGGCATTATTATCTTCCTTTGTTTATTTGCTCACAGTTTCAAAACAGAAAGCACATTCAATTATTCTATTTGGCCTGGATGCACGACTGCAGAGGCACTTTTTCCCAACTGTTTGCACGCTAGGTAACAGTGAGTATCAGGGTTAGTGTGACTCTTCTGCATGTCTGCAGCACTTATAAGTACTGGATGCTTTTACAGGTACAACTCCCATCATCCCAGCTAGGAAGACCAGTGGCCAGGGGTGATGGTACCTGTATTCCGAAAATACTAGTCCAAAGTGTCACATCCTGTGAGGTTGTCTTTGAGTCTTTGCTTCACTGCAAAGACCCAGGTTTCTCCCTCTGTGTCTCTCAGCACAATGAGGACAGACATGTCTAGCTCTGTTCTTTGGAGCAGAGGCAGAAATTCTCTGGACTCCCCCCCCCCCCCATTTTGCTGCTCCTGCAAAAGAAAGTCAGGCTTCTAGAATGGAACGTGCAGTGGTGCATCTCTTTACATAAGTGATGAAAAGATGTTGGAATTCCTGTGACAGGCATGTCTGTGTGTATAGTATGTCTGCCAGGCCATACAAGTGCTTAAGGGTTTTGGGAGGAGTGCGGTGGTCCTGTTAGGAGTCAAAGGTTGTGGTGAGGATGCACAAGGTTCAGTGTTTTGCAAGTTTCTGTTGTGATAGGTATGGCGTTGTGAAATGTGAGAAGATGAGTTTGTAAACCTTGACACATTTGTGATTTCTTGAGGGATTTAACATTTCTATTCCATAAGGACTAAGGATGAATAAGATTCAGACACACATGCCAGTTTATTACTCCCATGTGCCAATATTGAATGAGGACTTGCTTGTATGAAAACACCATTACATATTATATGCCACAGATGGTACTTAGCTCCTAATGTTTGCATAGATACAAGCAAAATCTAGCTTCAGTTACTCTATGCACTAGTTCTCACTAAACAAGACAGGCCTGTTCCCCTTCACTGGAATTCATGTCCCCTCCATACAAAAATAAACATGCACATACAATCGTAATCTTGGAAATCTAGATTTCAGGGCCATAACCCTTCCCTATAACATGCAGTTTTTTATATGGAGGGATTTTTTTATATGGAGAAATCGTGATTTAGTAAAATCCAGAGAAAATTCAGACCACTTTGTTGTGCAAGTCTATATAAGTACATCTAGCTTGTCCTATTGACCTCCTTGTTTATGAATCAATACTAACAAAAAGCATTGCTTTATTTCCCCTATACGACAGAGAGCAGAAAGCTGTTAAAAACATATACTACCTCTTTACAAAGACCTTCACAGTTCTTAATAAAGGATGAGCACAAGATCTCTAAAATCAATCTCTTTAGATACGTCTGTGAGTCTGAATGTTCTATCTTTATTTCAGAGTTTTACAGCAATTGCCTCTACTTGATTAACTGGTCCATACCATTTAACAATCTCATACAGAGTTGGAGTTCTTTCCTCTATAATCAGGACTTGCACATTTTGTTCTTTTCCATTTAAAAGGGCTGTTCAACATGACAGATACAAAGCATGATAGATTATTGCTACATAAAAGATCTTTTATTCCAAGAAGTGGAGTTTTGAGAAAGTTCAATTCTAGCCCACTGCCTATTTTGAGAGCAGTAATTCAGATGCTTTTAACCAAAACTCAAATTGGCAAACAATTTAAAGCAGAATTATTTGGCTACATTTTCTAGTGGACAGTCATATTTCGCCCCAACTTTTCTTCTTGCTGAAAGTGTTAGAATTAGAGCAAAAGGGAAAAATAGCTCAGCTCCATTTTTATACAGGAGAAGACAGGTCTTCTCTAACGGTTTTGGAGTTACTTCCGTCACTGGTACAGACTACAGCTCTTTGTTTTCATTTTTCATACAATGGTTTTGGGTATTTCAGCCAAGACTGCAACACCAACTCATAGTTCTGCATTTTTGTGTTTCTGATGTGATACCATGAATGGGACTAATTGTATAGGACCTTCAGCCATGGGGTGAGAAAGACACAGTTGTCCTTTCCATGTGGGATCAGCCTTTCATACATTACTAGGGATGGAAGAAGCATCTCATTTAAATGGATTTATACATGGAATTTGGTGGTTCCAGTTGGGAGGGGGGGACCTTGCTTTTTGTTGCGATCAAGGAATGAGATTGGATTGGGTCTGGGCAGAATCTGTGCAGATAAGCTCAACACCAAAACTATTAGAAAATCCCAGCCTTAGACATTGCTGTCATGATTCCTGTGCCACTGTGGCAGCTCATGAATAGGTCCTGTGCTGTTGTTTGGTCAAATATTATTAATAATCATATAACATTTTCCAGTTTTGCATCAGTCCAAGTGGATACTGGGGTTCAACATTTTCCCATGATTACTGGAACTAAAATGCAATAAGGACCCCAACAGTTATATTGTTAATTCAGTCAACACTGAGATATTGACAAGGAGTTAATTAATGTGTTTCCCCCCTACTTCCTTTCAGGGCTACCAGTGTGTCTGCCTCCTTGGCTGGGAAGGACCATTTTGTGAATCTGAATCCAATGAGTGTGACTCTGCACCTTGTAAGAATAATGGCACTTGCATTGATCTCTTCAATGACTTCCGGTAAGGAGCATCTTCTCTACCATCAAATGATTTGGATGTTCCAGTGATGACTTTTTTTTTTTTTTTTGGTACATTTGCTGGATTTCAAAATTGCTGCATAGCAAACAGCTTGTGATATAAACTGGAGCAGTGGCATTGTGAGGGTGGGGGTTAGGGAGATCCACGTTTTTCCAGGGCACATCTGTTGAAGAAGATCAAGAGACAGTGTGTTGCAGGTAAGTGTGCAAGTCTGGACATTTCTCCCAATTGTCAAGACACTAAGTGGCATGCAGGCTTCAGCATGCATATCTAAGCTGAACGGGGGAACTGCATTCACAGTTATGAGCAGAATATGGAGTTGGTCTCTCCAGTTGAAGAAAGAGAGATGTGTTAATGGATAGAGATAGGGAAGAAATGGTTTGAAAAAGTGTATCTATTAAGCAAGCTTGCATACAAAAGCATATTTAGTATGAGAAATGTGTACTGATATGTTGGCAGATGTTAATAAGCACTTAAAAAAACAACCATTGCAAACTGAATTTAAGATTGGAAAAATGAGAAACCGAAATTGACGGATGAATTCTTTCCCACTTACGTAGTTCTTTTTAAAAACCTAAACCCCTGATCATTGGTTCTTTGGCAGGAGAAGTAAGAAACTGGATTCTGTCTCCCTCTGCCCGCTTTCTAGCTTAGCAATGTTTGGTAGGATTTTAGTGTGTGCAACAAAACCCACTCTCCACATCCTCAAAATGTGGGATCAGCACAACCAGCTCAAAAATCCAGTCTTGGAGTGCTTGAATTATAGCTGGAATAGGTGTGTGTGTATGTCTCAATGAAACATCTTCCTAACTCAATATTAAGCAAATCATCCCCCCACCCTCATGATAATGTAAAATAACACTACTTTAGACAACTAATAACCTCCTGAGCATTCATCATTGTTGCCATCAGTTTCACTGTTTTCTTTCCTTAAATATACTAATCACACAAATGGTGTTACTTAAATGTATTCTATTACTTGGTGCCACCGAGCACAATAACAAAACAGATTTAAGTGCAATTTTTTTGAGTTTATGCATATTTAACTCTGGAGAGGTTTTGTGGTTGTTACGTTCAGTGATCACACAACTTGTCAGATGTGTTGATATATTTTGCTGCCTGAAATGAAGATGCCAGTCAAGTGGGAAATGCTCACCTGGTTGTGATCCTTATTTATGTCCCAAAGCTTACGCTATGGGATGTAACTCTTGCAGTGCTGCAAGGGAGAAAGCAGTGCAAATGTGTTAAAGTGTCCTCCTAATGATTTAATACCATAATCTTTTTTTCTTTTTCTTTTTGCTCCTATGGACAAACAAAAAGGCCATTTATTGTACCATCTCTGAATGCTTTTTACTAATCAATACAAATGAGGTGTTTTGGTATCCTTGCTCTTTCAGTTTCCTTTCATTTGGTTTCTTCTCTAAGGGGGATGCAACTGGATTCCTCTGTCCATTCCAAGGTTTTAAAAGCAATGCTTTTGGCTTCATCTTTGTGGTGTTGCAGATGATCACACCAACCCACAGCCCTAAAAGCTTCTGTATTTGTTTACAGCTCTTTGATAAGCAGTTGTAGGTCTTTTTGTGCCAAGCTTTTCAGTGTCAGAACGAAAGGATTCAAAAGCATTCCAAGAGCGAATCTTTCATTCCTCTCATTCTGTCGGTGCTGACATGAAATGATCCTGCTGGCAGGGAAAGGTCATCACGGACTACTTGACTGCACATTTTGGAGTAAGGCTGAATGCAAAAGCTTTGTAAGATTTAATAAGCTAACTCGAATCGTCCTTATTTATTTAATTGCCCATCTATCACAAGTTGTTTGGTTTGCTGATGAAAAGCCCCCCCCCCCTTTTCCCATTTGAGTGTGTGGCCGGCTTTAAATGCATAAGATTTATTATTCCCTGTACAAGATTGGTTTATCTGATATGAAATAAATCTCATCATGAGTCCAATAGTGAGTTCAAGGATTATTTCAATGCCAATTACAGAAATTGACTCTGCCTCCTAGGAATGTCAATGGGTTTTATTACATTAGAGCATAAAAGGTGTGCGACTGTGCATACAACTATGAAATGGCTTGTTTTCATGGAGGCAACAGAACCACTTCCTCAGTGCGGGCTTGAAGAAAAGCTAAGGTTCTTAACCTTTTCCAGGCATTTAGTTGTAAATGCTACTGGCAGAGTCTGGTCTGGAGCAGTGTTTCCTAGACTTGGGTCTCCAGCTGTTTTTGGACTACAACTCCCATCATCCTTAGCTAGCAAGACAAGTGGTCAAGGATGATGGGAATTGTAGTCCAAAGGCAAACTTGGAGACCCAAGACTGTGAAACACTGGTCTGCAGGAATGCCTGAGCATAAAGCATGTTCTGGAAATTTCCAGTGGCCTCCATATAGAAAGAGGGGAGAAGATTAGTGTATCTCTCCCATGATGTATCGGGAACAGGGTAGCAAGAACAGATTCCAGTACATTGTGACATGTCTTTTTAGGTCAGGGGGTGGGGAACTGGATCCAGCTGGTGGACTGGATCCTGAGTGCCCCCCAACTTCATCAGGCTACTTGGATAAGGGGGCAGAGACCCAATCACCTGTCACTTGAAACAGCTATTGCATTAGCTGGCCGTTTCTTTTTCCCTTTTTGGCATAGCTATCACTAAAAAAGAGAACCCAAGCCAATTCAGACCTGACATTGCTGCCTATCAGTTGTTAGGCAACTGACTCCACACCTGCTTTCTGCAGAGAGTCTCTGCATAGGGTTTGGTCATGCAACTTAGCAGTGATAGCAAGCCTCCCTTGCCAAGCAGAAGTCTACTTTGAGGCTGGCTCCTCATTGTGTATTGGCAGCTGTGTCTCTACCTGTGCCACACCATATGATTGCAGGTGTGGGCAGGTGGGCATGGCTTGTGGAAAACAGGCTAGCAGGCCAAATTGGGAATTCATTATCGGCTAGTTAGGCCTGAAGGCAAGAGATTCCACACACCTGTTTTTGTTTATAACCCTGCAGGAAGGAACTGTCCTGTTTGAATTACTTGTATGCAAGCCACTCTGGGAGCCTTTTCAGATAAAGAGTAGGTTCAAAATGCCCAGCTATTGTTTAACTAGAGTTGTGTTGTTGTTTTTAAAAAAACCCTATTTAAAACCCAAATTTAGGTATACAGTGAGGAAGGAGGAGGCACCTCTTATTCTCATACCCCAACTGGGAGTAAGAGGGTTCAGTTCTGCAGGGTATTGCTCGTTTACGAGTATCTTCCCTTCAAGGAAGTCCCTCATAAAGAAACAGAAACCTACGCTGTGCAGGATCAAATTCTCTGCTTACCAGTGTAGTGCTGCTTTAGGAGGCAGAGGACGGATAGGAAAGGCCAAGTGGGAAAGCCCACACTCCACATCCAAAGGCACTCCACCCATCCAGCTTCTCCCAGAAAGACATAGCTAGTAAGGTAGGTCTCTTTTTTTTTTTTGCATATTTTGTTCTTTTTCCTGTCTGATGCTTGGCTCTCCTTCATGTCTGACTCCCTGTCCCCTGACAACCTCAGATTGCTCTGGACCTCGCAGCCTGATGGGCAGCAATCTGAGACTATTTCAACCCAGCACAAGTGATATCCAGTCCCCCACAACTGGTCCTGTTCAGTTTGGGCCTCAGTGCGCAGCCCTATCTAATTGCAAAATGATTTTGCTATTTATCTAATCCATTCAGAGGGTGACTTAAGTCCGTTGTTTTTAATTGTGTGTCTACTCTGAGTATGGCTATCATGGGATGTCACCCACAGGAAATAATTGAAGAATGCAATAATATATTGCACACTGGGAAATGATGTCAAAAATTATTGTGTGTTTTCAGATTCTGCCGGATTTTGGCAGCTGTGCATAATGTATGGGAAACTAATTTTCTAATTATTCTGAAAGGTAATGATTGTTCAGATGATGATATAAGCTGCATTGTTTGCATCTGTACTTTTGTAGCTTCGTATTATTGAGTTCTCAACCACCTGCATCCAATAGGGACCTATAGGTAACTTACGAGAGGCAGCTATACAAATATTTAAATGTGCTTTTCCAATTCTGGCAGCAAATATGCTCAACCTCTGCTCACCACAGCGACCATTTCCTTGGCTCCTCCACCTGATGGGGAATAAAACAGGGCCTTTTTAACATTACTAGTTCTTCATGCAAGATACTAGGGGTACCTATTCTGCTTTATTGGCAGATATAAACGGAAACATTGGCTTGAATAATGTTTGCCATGTTTTGATAGCAGGTTTTTCTGAGTTTTATGTTTCACTGGGGTTTTTATGTAAAAATACCTCTGTTCTGAGAAACAAGTGAAGAATCAACAAAAGTAAGCTCTCTGGGCAAGCAGCGATATAGCAGTTATTTAATATGTCTCATTTTGCTTGGATGGGGAAGCCACAATCTTTGTTCAGAGCAGGCAAAACTAGAGAGCTGATGCATGTTACGAGGTATACAAAATGTGGTATGCAGTATTTGCAAGTTGTGCTGAATTTGTACAAGGACGCAACAGTCCATTACAGATTGAAAATGAAAAGTGAGTTGGACATACTGCACTTTTTATTTGGTCGAATGTTGGTGAAATTTTTGAATGATTTTAGGATGGTGATTTGTGGGGTGGAAGGGATCTTTTGAAATGTGTGGAAGTTTGCCCAGCCACCCAACCTGTGTGAAGTCATATATTAAACAATTAACTTACGATACAATCAGCATCAAATTCAAATTTTTCTCTTGCCATTAAAACGGTGACTCATTTGCCCCTCTCTGAAGAGAAATAATACTTTGCAGAGACAGATTGGTGTGTTCCACCGTTACTTGTTAATGCGCTCCACATCCCACACTGCAGGGATAGAGTCACACCATGGCATCAACTGTGGACTGGGCTGGGTCTGACCTGAAGGCGAACTGTAATGCTTAACTCCACCTCTGAGCCATTTACGAAGAAACAGGTCTGAATCTGCAGTTTGGTCATACAGTGATCTTTG